GAGCCCCTAGTAGCGTCCTTGCTCCTAGTAGTAAGGCCAGGAGCCCCCAGTAGCGTCCTTGCTCCTAGTAGTAAGGCCAGGACCACCCTAGTAGCGTCCTTGCTCCTAGCACCCTAGTAGCGTCCTTGCTCCTAGTAGTAAGGCCAGGAGCCCCTAGTAGCGTTCTTGCTCCTAGTAGCGATGCCAGGAGCCCCTAGTAGCGTTCTTGCTCCTAGTAGCGATGCCAGGAGCCCCTAGTAGCGTCCTTGCTCCAGTAGCGTTCTTGTTCCTAGCGTTAACCTTTCTTCACCTGTTTGCTTTGAGCGAGTTTCACCAATGTAAACCAATCCCCCCAGAACAGGTTGGGTGGGAGCTGAACCCGCGGAACCGTCGCACGAAGATCAACTCACAACGCGTCCGACGGACGACTTGATCTGCAAGACAAACGTCGGGAAGCTTCGCGTAGCACTGGAAACGGCATCCATTCCGGAATCTCCATGACTTGGGGGGTAAAACTTCCCTCATTCCCTGCGACAAGTAATATCTACAGACTGCCATCTCCAAGGTGCATGTTGGCATCCACCAGCAAGCCTCTTTGCTCCTGTTTGAGCCTCAGTTGCGCCGAACAAGACAACACTGACTGTTGTTGTGTTATTTTTTGTTGCATCAATGCGCACAGGCAGGATATCCTGGGATTTCTTCAAACTATGCTCATGCTCAGTAAAGAATACATATTGCATATATTATATATATATGTATATTACTTACACAGAGTTACAAGGAAACTTAAGGAACCATGGATGGCCGGAGAAGAAAGGGCTACTGAAGTGGGGTCTGCTTGGCCATGCGCTTCACCACCCTTTCTTTCCGCCCGGAGCGGTCTTAAACTGTTGCAGCTTGGAGACTCTGCCGGGCACCACTCCAGGTTTGGTTGGGCACCAGCGCCCACCACAGCAAGGTCACAAGCGATGGTCTCGCCCGACCTCAACTGATCAGGTCGAGGTCTGGAACACTCGGATGCATCATTGAAAATATCATTGAATCCCCGGCTGAAGACTAACATGGAAAATTGAACACCTAGTGGTTTATGTGGTTTGTAGAGGAAACCACGCTTTCAGGGTGCCATTCTTAGTCTTCCGGAGTGTATTTTCCGTTGGTGAGTCTATTGGTATGCATATATTCCGCTGAAATTGTCTTCTCCACCCAAAGACCAAAGACCTGGTACAGGTACACCCTCACACGCAAAGGTGCCATTCTTTGGGCTGAAGGGTTCGTGACACTGTTGATGACAATTCTCTTTGCTTTGAAGACCCCAGACATCCTAGCAGATTCGGTCATGCACAAGATTCTTGAAGTCTCTCGTAGTGAGCTGTCTTTGTGTTTTGTCACTGCAACTTTTGATGTGACCACTCCCCAAGATGTGAAAAACTGGCCAACTTCAGCTCGATCGCCCGAAAGAGGCAAAACAGACTTCCCAAGCCGTGTCTCCTGGAAACCTGGTCGTTTGAAGTGGGGAAACCAATCCCCCAAAAGAGGTGACCGGCCGGTTACCTGGCTGGGGCTTCCGAGTTCAACGATCCGTCTTTGGCCAACGCCCGTATTTCTTCGAAAAGATCAACTCATCACTGTCTGCCCATCCCCTTTCTCGCGTGAACTCGAAGAAACAACGGTCTGCTCACCGCTGGGCATTCCGAGCTTCAACTTCGCCCCGCTGACCTTGCCCCCCTCGCCAACGAACTCGCTGACCACATCCCCTGCGAGAGCGTTCCAGCGATGCAACGGTTGGCATCTGGTGGGTTTTCCATGGGTTTCAACGCTTTGAAGGAAGAGGAGCATTGTTCGTGGCTTGAATTGCCACCGGCGACGACGGCACTTCCAGGAGGGTGTCGAGAGGAGTTCGGGATTGCTTCTTAGCTCATATATATAATAATTAATATAAGTAGTATTAAGTATTATTGATATTCAACTGCAAGGGCCAGTACTCAAACACTCTCATAGCTTTTCGATGCTTTTCTGACCAACTATTTGGTCAGGTCCGACTCGACTCTGCCTCGGAGGATCTTCACGCCCCTGGAGACAAATTGCTCCTGGAGATGTCAGCGCCTCCAAGTCTCTGTCACCAGTGAAAACCCTCTTGGGTTGTTCCATGGTTCAGTGTTCAAGATTCTTCAAGTGTCTGTTGTGCCGGCCAAATTCGGGGGAACAGGCAAGGCCCTCGGTTTTTAGACACTACTAGTGCTTGTAATATCACATGTTACATATTACTGCTGTAGATACATGTAGATATTATACACTCTAGAAGCCGAAAGACTATATTGGCCCCACCGAAATACAGGAAAAGCCTTTTCGGGTCAACTAAAGGCAATTTAACAAATAGTCTTGGACTCCCAAACGACAATTTGTTAGCTACACTATATAAACCCAAATCCTCCTTGCACGGCTGACCCCAGAACAGGAACCTTTTTCTCTCCACCAACAGGTCCAGAAAAGAACACAACGCACACTGACTGATGGCTGACGGTCCAACCCATTCGACGACGACCACAACGCGGCGACCACGATCGTCTCCTCCAGCCAGGCACCCAGGGGCGGAGTAAAGAGTCGCGGGAAGACGTGCGCCTGCCAAAGCGGAACCGTATACTGTGACTCTCAGTTATGTGTCCGTCAAGAAAGGCATAACTTGGTACTTACTGTATCTTATTTCATAAAGGAAAACACATGTACATTATATGAATTACATGTGCATATACATATATATATATATTATATTCATATATAGAGTAAAATCAATAACAGGTCTTCCATAGTCTTCCCGTCATAGAATCTACAGAATTAAATCAACAGTTCCAGGCTTGTCCTGAAATCACGTAGCTTGTACAAATATAACATGCATGGATTGGTTACCATGAGCTAAACGGATCAGTTTGAGAGAACACATCCATGGGAAACTGCCGGGAGCTGGTGCGCTTTCCCAAGTGCACCGAATCCTCGAAGCTCAAGCCCGAAGGTCCCCATCGGGAGAATGGAAGATACCCTTCAGCAAGTTGATGAGACATTTCATGAACCGCTGTAGAGGCTTCCGGCAGCTCCGCAAATTCTGTGAGGAAGTCAAAATTGGATGTCCCTTGGGCTGTCGTCTTCTTCAAAACAAGCGGTGCAGCTGATCACCCATTCTTGGGAGCTGCCTCGGGCCTCAGTGGGCCCTGAAGTCAGCAAGTTCTTTTTATCGAACGACTCTGACTTGAGCATCTAACGACTCTGACGATCGGGATGCCTCAAACATGAGCCGTCCTGGCCAGGACCACCAGTGATCTCTTTGGTGTCTCTTTTAGTGATCTGTCGAACCGGTCAGCGACCGGTGACCGGACCTCCAATTGAAGGTCGGAACCGGTCGCTCGGTCGTTCGGTCCTGGGATTTGACATCCAACGATTTGATTGGATAGCAAATGAACGGGGGTATCACCAACAACACGTCCATTGTCACAGTGGTGCTGTTCACAATCCGAGCGGACACCACAATTAATGTCTCTTGACATGGATCTTCCTGGAACCCCAATCAACCGAACTCAAAACCTTGTTGTTCAATCATGGCAGTGTTACGATACCTGACTTTACATCAACAAAAACATGTAACACATGGTTTGGAATTGAATCGAAGAACCGCCTTAAGCGGCACTGAGGAACCGCTTCATCCCCCTCCCAGCTGCCTCCGGAAAGACCACCGTCGTCTCCACCTTTGACGTCGGGACTAGAGCGAAGCCCTCGTCGACTGGTGGAGATGTATCTGGAGGATCCCAGAAGACCTCGTGAGGAGAAGACTCTTCAGTTCTACCGACTCAGAGTCAAACCCCCACCAGTGAAACATAGTGAAACTATACCCTGTGTCACTGATCTTGTGGAAGTCTTGGGATCCTCATAAGACACCTCAAGTTGGTGGATGAGCACAGCACTCTGGCTCGATAGCTACGACAAACATGCCAACTATTCAGCACCTGGTTGTCCGATGTTTTCTTGCTCAAGTGAACAAAAACAGGTTTCGGTGGAAAACGATTGTCTTTCACGGTTTAGTGGCTCTACTTTGGCATCTCATCTCTTCATATCTCTTCCACCTATGGGCCTATTAAGGAAATACCTGCAGGATATTGCAGGATGTTGCTTCAAAAAACTGCCCCAATCAGCTGTTGCAGAATGTGGAAAGGACGGTCGTTTGTATTTTGCCGAAAGAAGCCAACTTCTACAGGGGTTCTCCTCCCGGAGGACGGACTCCAACCTCAAGCGCGCGCCGGTGTTTTGCTTTCGCGGCAGCCTGACTCCTCACTGGCCATCGGCCAAGCGGCATGGTTCAAACTGCAAAAACTCGAATTGGTCTTTTGGATTGGATCGCCCAAGTGGTACATCTGATGCACCGAAATTGGACCTGCGCGAGCGATGGAAGGGCCATAAGAAGACCAATGTGAGACAGAAACATAAGTGATCATTAATCATATATTGAATCAAGGATTTCAAAGTCACAGACGTTTCAGCGTCTGTGTACCGGTCCGGGAAGCATCTAGCGAGACTTGAATCATCTTTAGTCCAACCCCAATCTGGTGGAAACAATAATTGTTCACCTTAACCAAGTTGGTGATCGGTCTCTCATATGGAGCTTTCGCAGTCTGTCCACACAGGAACTGGGCCAGCACATTGCTGGTGTTCCATGTGCTCTGGGGTATACCAGAACCCTTTCAGGGTACTTGGCGCCCAGAAAACTGGCCGCGGCCCTTTCCATGACCTCATATGTGTTTGTGTGTGGAAACTGCATCTTTCGAATAACAAATGCGCCTCTGATCTTGGAAGCCACCATTTGTGAGTTTCATGTTTCTATTTATATGCTTGTCCCTTTCACAATGGGTTTTTGGTGGATCTCGTCATCTCGTATGTTAATTACATCAAATCATGGCGTGAGAAACTTCAGCTGATGATTGAGTGTGATTCCTTTGGAAACTACGACATTGGGAGGCTTTCTGTGTCAAAACGCTGGAACGGCTCCGAGTATTCCTAGGTCGGACCATGTGCGAGGTCCATTCACAGGATTCTCCGCTTTCAGTCTGCGCGATTCTGATAGCCCTGCGTCGTATTTGTCTAACACCCTTCAACACAAAAGCCAGCTGCTAAACAGCAATAGTTTGGGATGCGTGAAGAAGTTGTAGGGGGAACTTGTGAAAGAAGTTGTAGGGGGAACTTGTGAGCCGCGGCCAAAAGACCTGTTGGAAAGGTTCTGCCTTTAAGGCAAGACCATAGCAACCGGTGCGAGCCCAATTGTTCACGCACGGCCTTACCAACACGTGGCCTTGGGTTTTGCCCGGCAAGTGGCGTAAAGCTGGAACCCCAAAATATTGATAGATATATATATATATATAGAGAGATTGTGTATATATATATATATATATTATAGCCTTTGAATTTGCTTAAGGAACCGCACAAAGACATAACATGTTCCCCAGAAAAGGATTCATCCATGGGGAAACTAAAACAATCATGCTAAGCAACACCAGGAGTTTCAACCTGTCTAGTTCCACATAGTTCAACTGTTGTTGTAGTGGTTGGACCAGCTCCAACTCACCTGCCTGCATCTGCCGTCAGGCATTGACGACTCCCCCATTTCATTCGGTGAACAACACAGGAGCTTTGGCGTGATGGAGCCAGTTTCGGGAACCTACGTAATCCCCCAACTAAACAGGGTATGTGATGGTATGTGCATTCTTTATGGTTGTTTTGAAAGAAAGCACTAGTCACTATAGACGGTGGCAACATCACAGATCATTTCTGTCGGATCCGCCGACTCCGCTAGGACGATGGGGCAATGTCGCGGACGAGTGGACTCCGTTTTAGGCGGTGGGGCGTCATGTCGCGGTGATGTCGGATGGCCCAAATCTGCAAAAATGAACACCTGACAAGTGTTAATTTGTTTATTCGTTGCGGACTGCCATTTTTTGTAGTTTGCGGGAGAAGCGTTGTTTCCCCTGACCCCTTGAGATTCGGGCGTTGTCGCTTGTGTGGCGCGGTCCCCCGCCCGCGCTCGCACTCTCAAGCAGGAAATGGATCGAACATATGCGCGCCATTATCAAGAAACTTTCCGAGACACTGTAAATACCGGTGTTTTGAATAACATCGGTAAGTCAAAAGCACTGAGACTGGTATTTGCGAGTCGTTTTTGTTACTGCTGCAGTAAAGCAGCAAAAAAACACTATATAAATACAAACCGTTCAACCTCTGCAAGACAAAAAAAAAAACAACACAAGGACAACAACAATGTAAATGCCAACCTTCTTGACCCTGGGTAAGCAAAACCGACGGTATTTACAAGTCTTTTGCGTAATAGGAGCCTAAAAGCTATGTAAATACCGTGTAAAAGGTTGTCTTGGAACTAATATTTGTTGGCGGCAAAGAACAACCCGGTCATTAATATTAATTTAGAATAGATGCCGAATATGGACCTTCTCGAAAACGTGTTCCACTATGGGAAGGGGCCATGCCATCCATATCTATGTCATCTACCAAGGTCTACCGCATATATATATATATATGGTTTCTATATGCTATATATGTATGGTACCCCTAAAAAATTGTCTACCATAGTCTCCCTGTCTAACAAAAAACAATGGTAGTTGTGATGTTTCCTGGCTGTACTGGGGTGTCTGATTTTGATGCTGTTTTTAGAGACAAAGAGGGGGTACCCGGGTACAATGTATATATATATATATATTATCAGTATAGAAAGAGCTGAAGAAAGGATCTAGAATCTAGAACTTAGAGTGGATGGAGGTCTGAGAAAGGTACGCATAACAGGTTCAAGATTGAAGAGTGTGTAAGGACTTTCCGTTTGGATTCTCCAATTTTCAATCCAGAAAGTACACGTACTTACGCTTATCTGCTGCGGTGTCTTTAATTCTTCTAGGGTGACAACAAACAGGATCCAGCCCTCAAAGAAGCTCAAACAACAGGGCAACTACCTCAGGAGGGGCCAATCACCATCAGTTGCTTTAGCAAGAGTATATATATATAGGAAACAGAAGCAAGAAAAAATATTGCACCCTTCGCAAAAATATGTTCCGTGCAAAACCGATAACAAGAAACATAAAACACATATCTTCTGAGATATTGTGTAATATTGATAAGTTAATAGTCTATATGGTTCAACAAAACTGAATTCATGAAAAGGAAAATCAGTGGTTCTTCCAATCCTCCCATAAAGGCATATGGCCAAGCTCAAGTAGCAAAAGGTAGGGGTGGAGGTGGTGACGGATACAGTTATGTCCAAATTGAGTGATTTTTAGCAAAGCAATTCGACACAGTAACAACATATACTAAAGAACACTAAAGCAAAAGTGGATACATCAGTAGGATTGAAAGCCAATCAAGCAACTACGTACATGTACTAAACATAAGTAAATTCAGCACTAGGTTTCACAATCTCAAGTTGATACAACACAAGGATTTGGTGAATCTCAAGGTTTAAAAGCAAATTTGGTAGATGCTGTATTCGCATCCAATCTAACAGTAAATTCAGTTTCGGATACACTGGGAATGGCAGCAAATGCAGTAAAATCAAATATAGTTAATCAAAATCAGTTTTATGCTCAAAAAGTGACTGACATTGTTTTTGGACCAAAATGGCACTAACTATATACATGAGATAGATACAGTCACTTAAATCCAGGTGTGCATTTGAAAGAAGAACTGCAATGCAAAAGCGGTTTCAAAACAAACACCATTGACTCTCAAAGCAATGTCAACTTATCGCTTCCAAGAACTGGTAGCGAGCCTATATCCAATTTCAAGCATCACCTGAAACATGAATGACACTGCTGAAATACACAGTGGGAAAGGCACACCTGATTTCTTGGAAGTAAATGAAGGTAACTTCAATGTATTGAGAATTGGAAACTTGGATGTAACCAATCCCTCTACTATAATGACAATACTATTCTACTATTAATTTAAACAAATCACAGGTTACCATCCCTCTTGAGATCTTTTGCAACATTTACAGCAGTGGTTCTGGTGATGATGATGTTGTAATTGAACAAAATATGTTGAACATCTTGGGCTAGATATGGCTAGATGATGCTAGTAGCATTTTAACTGCGAAAAATACCATAGGAATGCCAGCTACATGGTCATTGGCAACTGATACAATCTCTTGTGACCGACTTGAATTCAGTTTTAAATATTGTATCAGGCATTGCTTTCCCAGGTGGCTTGAATTCAACCATTGTCAATACAGCCACCAACACCAATATGCAAATACAAAGGACTGGAGTAGATTACATAGGATTAACCACAGATGATAGTGAAACTAAATAAGCAAACACTTATAACAACAAGTGGTGTAGGCACAACTGTTTTTGATGCCGTTGGTGGGATTGTGCAATTAGGAAATGGGCAACACAAATTGATTCACTGACAGTTGGTGCAGCAGGTGGAGAAACGCAGGTGAGATACTTTGCTGATGCTGGTGCCAGGATTGGTAATACACCAAACATTTAAAACATGGAACAAACTAAACATGGAACAAATGAACTCACTGTGCATGTTCATAATATAATTATTGAGCTGGTAATATTACTTACCCAAGCAATATGTCATAAATCTTGGGGTATTGTAAAAAACAACGGTTTTGACACTTATCTGGCTGAATTATAGTATTTCGTAGGTCGTTGGGCCGTAATTTGTTATTTCAAATTTGAATTAAAGGTTAGGTCGGTGAAATAACAAAAATTATCGGGTGAGGTTGGGTCCGGGTGCGGCATGATGTGGCTGGAGAGCGGCGGTGCAACGGGTAGTTCCGACAGCCCAGAAAAATACACACACCAGCAATCACAAAGGGGTGCTTGGTGGAGGTTAGGGGCGCACTGAGGACTAAACACCACCCTTTTTGCGACTCCTGGTATAATTTTTGTGCGTTTCATCAAACACGACCCGAGGGGGTCTGCAAGTGCGAGCTCCAGCGTCGGTTTTGGGGGCGGATGTCGTGTTTGTGCGGCGGTTCCGTGCCTATGCATTAGCCTTGCAACTCATAGCCAAAGTTGCCGTGGTCTAGGGTATTTTTTGTTCAAGCCCGCCCCGCGCTGAGATCTAACAAATCTCATCATCGCCTAAAATGGTTTTTCCCGACAATGCGCGTTCCCCCTCTAGTTCAAGCCGCCCCGCAGCCACCCAATATCGTCGCCTAAAATGGATTTTGCCGACAATGGCACAGTGCCGTGCCAGCGCAACGCGCGAAGGCCCCCAAGCAGCAAGGTTGACGCGAAGAGCAACTCTCTGGCTGAGGCTGCCAGTCCAGTCGTCATATCTATAAGAACAAATACTGAGCACCAACCAGGCAGCTGGCGCGACCACGCCAGCAGCAGAAGACAAGTTTGGCAGTTGGGAAAGAGGGTGTAGTCACAAAGAAGGCATTTGCTCTGGGGAGCTGCTCACCAGGTAACAAACACAGTGAATGATGCCAACCATATACCAACCTCACCCACAGTGTTATTTCAAAACTTTAGGTCGTAATTTCAAGTGACGTCGAGTGAGGTCGCTATACTTCGACCAGACTTATGGCAATGATCATTGCATATTCATGAAGAGTTTATTGACAGAAGTACCAAATTGCCTAGATGGATGTATATTACCGGAGGTGATGGAGCAAGTAGGATAATTGAAAACACCTCTAGTCTACTTGAGGCGACGGAGGTGGACGAAAGGTAGAGATTGGAAGATTCTGAGCAGGAGCAAGAAGCCAGCAGCAGCAAACCAGCAAAGCAGCAGCAGCAGCTAAGCAAAAAGGTAGCACCAGCACCAGAAGCAGCAAATGAGCAGCAGCAGCAGCGGCGGCGGCGGCAGAAGTGGCGGCAGCAGCAGCAGCAACAGCAGCAGCAGCAGCTGCAGCACAGCAAAGCAGAAAGCAGCAGCAAAGCAGAAAGCAGCAGCAGCAGCAGCAGCAGCAAAGCACCAACGCTCACAAGTTTGGCCTCCACAACCCTTGGTTTTCGTTCAGTTTCGCGGGGTTGTGCAGACGAAATTGAAAGAGGGAGCAACAAGCAGCACAGCAGCAAGCAGTACAGGAAGGAGCAAGCAGTACAGCAAGCAGCAAGCAGTACAGCAAGCAGCAACAAGTAGCAGCAGCCAGCAATAGACCACAGATCACTCCCAAATTCTCAGCGGCGCAGGGTGGAGTCGAATGGGGGGGCCCCCGCCCCCTATGTTCAACACTTAGGGGCCATGCAGGAGGCGCACTTATACAATCAATGTAAACGAAGATAACAACGTAGCCGCTAAATGGACGCAATGACGCCGCTAAGTGGACGCAATGACACCGCTAAGTGGACGCATATGGTGTCATATAGTTCTATGACCAGCCATATTATGAACACTCAGCAACAACTGACTTTCTGGTGATTGATGCCCCAATAATTCGTGTGGTCCTCACTCGCACGTCGGCAAACAATGACCGCAAACAGACTTGCGGTAAAAAAACGACTTCCAAGCCGCAGCGCCGCTGCAGGTAACCGGTGTCAAGACATGCTGTCCGTGATTTTTTGGTAAGCCGAGCTTACGTTTCACAAACATGAGATTCAAGTGTGCACAGCATTATAATAAAATACAACCCGCTATATCGACGCCAAGCGTTCAAGGCACGGCCCCCCCGCCTAATATTAGGAATGACACCACTGTCAATAGCCCCATCACAATTTTAGGAGCAGGTGCAAATGCAAATGTCTTGTTTGTATATCCTACCCCTCAGCAAACAGCAAGGAGCATCTACAAACCCCTGAAAGCCTGAAAAGGTATTTTTTGGGGGGAGGTGGGGGTAGCACATATATATATATACATATAATACTATACTATATTTCAAGCAAACTGTGCGTCAAATGTCTAAATATGGGAACCGTTTCAACATGTTTCAACCATTGGACCATTGAAGGATTCTCAAAGGAAGCTCCTGAGCCATGACCCTCAAGCTTAAAATGTATCCTTGAAGAACACCAACTCTCATGTGTCCTTGTTACTTGGTAGCTAAAAAAATATTGGCTATCTTGTTATGACTTGGCTACCTCACTCATCTCCTGTTTGAATTCTTAGAGGAGATAACCACAAAACATCGCCGGGATGTGCGCTTTTGGGGATCCAACTTCTTGGCTGCCTGGGCCGTTCTTCGTGCCCTTTGGCGCTGTACAACGGCTGGAAGTGGATGCACAACGCATTTGGGCACCAACAGGATCAGGACCGTCCGAAGATCAAAAGCTACTTCTTTGGGCGCCCACTCCTCTGGCCCATGCACCTTACAGAACTAATAGAATTTAATTATAGAATTGAATAGATGCGTTTTGGGTCTATCCTATTACCAGTAACAGCGGATGATGGTTAGGTTACAGGCCTTTCTCTAGAATTGCGATGTTCTTGTTTACCGACGGCTCTACAGGGGACAGAATTTCTCATAGATAGGTTCATCACCAGTGCTCTGATTCAGCAATCCATTTGACCCGAGTATGTCTTAGCTTGCATCACGCCTTGGGATTAGCTCGAAAACGTGAGACACAATAGACACACGAGTTCCTGAACACCGAAATCGCTCCTTAAAAAAGTCCGCTCCCAGTTCGATGTCGCTTCGATTTCGCTTCCCGTTCGCTCTTTCTTTTTGGGAAGACTTCGTCTTCTCATGGAAGACTTCGCGTCGACTCATGGCAGCGGAGCACTTCGCGTGAGCGCTCACTTCGCGCCACATGCAAAAAAACCGATCACTCCACCGATTCACTGTCAGAGAGACCCGAGAGACCCGAGGGCTCGATCGGCTCGATCTCGCTCACGTCGGCCACCTCGACCGTGCGCTGAACCTGGCGCGAAGGCGAAAAGGGGAGAGCGAGAGGTAGAGTGAGAGAGTGAAGGGACTGAGATCGGAAGCGAGCTTCTGAGGTTTGAGGTCTTGCCACCCAGGTTTTCAAGATTGCGTACTATGTCACTCACCTATGAGTCTATCTCCTGTGCTCGGCTAGGCTTGGTTTTAAGCGGCATGCATTGAATGAATACAGTGCGACCTTCCAAAACTGAGGAGAAAGGTCACATGAATGACATTTCAGTGCGAACCTCCAGAAAACAGAAACCTTCCGCTCAGCGAACCAAAACCAAAAGAACTTGTAATTGGACAACCCAAAGGTAGGAACAAACCTCACAACCCACAGGAACTACCGTTGGTGCGCATGGAAGACCATGGAAGCAAATGTTCATATGTGCATAAAGGACTTGTTCAGGTTGCTAAAGCAAGTCCTTTCTTTCATACACCTACTGCGATTAATGATGAGTGATTACAAAGTGATGGGGGTCTAGGCCCTAGACTCTAGAGAAATCAGTTTGACGTATTTTGACCAAACACTTCTAGCTCGGCCTTGTGACATGTTCTGATGGATGCTTTGGAGCCAACTCTTTGTCATAAGGGACCAATTGAGCGAGACAACTATAGCTCCTTCGGAACTCCTGGTTCAAATCCCGAAGACAAATGTTGACCAATTCCTACGTACGAGTATATACAAACAACGCCAGGTACAATTAACATCCATAATTTGGGAATTGAGCCAAGATTTTTAAATATCAAGTACACATCGACCCCGTAATTATGTTCAAAGCCGGCCAGATCCCCTCGGGCTTTCGCCGGAATTGCTCCCTTGCCCCAAGTTCATCCGGCCTCTCTGTTCGAGCTCCGACCCTGGTGCTGGCGGGTTTCTGGAGAGGCTGAGAGGTTGAGAGGTAAATCGGGCAAATAACCAAGCGAATGCTTTTGCAAATATTTGTAACTCCGAATTAGCAGGGTCTCAGCGGTTGAACACCTCAGCAGTTGTTGGTCCATGCAAGTCCCAAAAGGTTTGCCTTCCTGTGCCCCAAAAGCCTCGAACGGTCAGTTACATTTTGAAGTCAAATTGGTCATGGTTACAGCGACGGAGTTGCACACCAAGTCGGTAGCCATAGCCTCCGTGTCGGACAACGACACAGTCAGACTGAGTCACTTATAGTTACTTGATGTCATCAAATGTTGGCTTCAATTCCGCAGAACATGTTGATCGACCTCTGTCTGCTGGTAGAAGAGCTTCCAGAATCGGCCCAAACATGACCTGGGCAACGACTCAGTCGTGTGTCAAGACACCGAGGACATTGTCTTTTTCTCATGCCCAGGATGGATGGACACTCACATCAAAGAAGGTTCGAAGTTGAATGAATGAAACAGGATCCACAAAGCTCCTGAGATAATGTTTAGCTTGGTGTTTCGCTTGGGCTGGGAGGGTGAAACTGTATAGTGTAGCATGCAATTGGCATGCTTGCCTCACAAAGTTTTGACTCACTGAAAAAACAAACTGCAGTCAACAGAAACCCAAAAAATCAGTCACAGAGGATATTCGAAGTGACTTCACCGTTGCACAGTTTGTCTCCTTTTTTGGGATGGGGAGCCTGCAGCAAGTAAGAGGTCCTACATTGAGATTCCTGGAGTTGTGTGTAAACCATCCCATAAAACCAGCACAAGCTACTTGTAGCCCAACTTAAGAATGCTGCAACATGTTGTAACTTCTTGTACTGTAACTCCTAGGTCCTAAATCATGCAATGACCCACATCTTCAGTCCATCCACATCTTCGGTCCTGCGCCTCGTTCATCCGACCCTTGGTCCCTCAAAACCATTGAGTCAGTTCCAAGCCACCGCAACGTAAGCAAAAATGCCATAGTGTTATGTCTGCCGGACCACTTTATTCTAGAAGTCGTTCATCGTTAAAACTAGTAAAGACAGAACAGCAATCACAAAATGCAGCCAGAAACAAACTAAAAACAATAAAAACAATAAAAACAATCATAAAAATAAAAAAAAGGCAAACCATATTGCAAACAAAAATGGAACAACACAGCATCTTTGTAACAAGCAAGAAAATGCCCTTGCAACAACAGCATGATAGCCAGTTGACAAAACGGAGTTACCTGGTAATTACTTACAAAGCAAGCCAAACAAGAACAAAATTACTGCTACTGCTACTGTAGCTGTGAGCGACTGTATGAGTAAGTGTACACCCCTCCAAAAAAGCACTGAGGTGGCTGACATCTACATGATCCCTGAGGTTTCTGCACTCAACCGGGCTTTCTGACACACTTTCTGGCGCACTTTTTGGAAGGGTCCACTTTCTGGTGCAATTTTGGTTGCTTTTGTTGCTTTTTGTTTCCTCTGTTTCCACATGTTCTCCAAGACATTTGACCCGGCATCACAGGAAGAAGCGACAAAAAAAGCGACACTTGACCCGGCACCAGAAAAAACCGCAACCAAAAGTGAGACGCTTGACCCGGAGCCAGAAAACCAGTCAGTTGGGCTTTGGGGATAAAAGATCCTTTTCTTCCTCACCTATCCGGCCCCCTCGCCAAGCTGGGTTCCAACGCGTTGAATTCCGAATCTGCAGTTAGTCTGCAAAGGCCCTTGCTAGGGACTATAGTGGTGCGGGTAGTAGCATTGCCTCTAATTGACCTTTTGGTTTGACCACGTTAAAGAGTGCTTTAAGTGTGTGTGTTGTTGTTTTCTTTTTTCTCTTTCTTGGTCGCTCTTTTCTTTGATTGTGCTTTCTTGGTTGCAATTGATTGTTATTGTGTTGCTTTCTTGTTTGCTTGTGCTGTTGTTTGGTTTGCACGTTTTTTTTTGTGTGTGTTTTTGTTTCCAAGATTCAAGGTTTCTAGAATAAAGCCACCTCTGGTGAACATAACCATAGTGTTTGTGAAGCAATGATGTCAAACCTTGGGAATCATAGAGGGTTCAATTTGGTACCATATTGTTTGTTCACCGGGGGTGTCCATTTTATCAACCAATAGTAAAAGGCCATCTTCATCCACTAGTTCGTCTTCGACCTTGTGAAGCCCCTCACCAGATTTTGCCAAGAAGCTTCTCTCGCACCTGCGGGAACGATGAACTCATCTCTGGAAGAGGGGGCAGTAAAGGATGGTGTTATGAAATTGGTACTTTTCTTGCATCTTCAACCATCTTCCAGCATCGCCGAGGAACAACCTATGCCAATCCAGGAACACCATGTGTCTGTGGCCTCAAAAAAGGGGTCGGGCACAACCAGAGCATCCGTCTGACCCCAAGCTCAACCAGTGCATCCTCAGGTCCTTAGGTCTGACCGAAAAAGCGATCTTTGATCCTTTTTGCCTTTAACCCATTTGGATAGTAGATGGTTAGAGTCCGAACTCAAGATCCCTGGCTGTCCCCTAGCTTCCAAACACATGCATGGACTTGTGATTCGGGTCCTTCCTTTGCCTGATTCCTCATTGACCAGCTGCTTCACCAACAACAGCAACATCACCAACGCAAAAGTGACCGAGGTGACTCAACCAAAAGTCTACTTGAATTCAGTATGCATTAAAACGACAGATTGAAAGTTTCACTCAACGGAATCTGGTGAACTGAATTTCCAGAAACGGTCCGGTTGTTTGCGTCAACTATTAGCCTTGATTTGCGACCTGAAGATTATTAACGATGAACATTGGGTGTCCTCCAATACAGATTGCAGATCGACTACAAAGAACAAACATTGGACCATAGCGAGGAATATGGGACTCTTCCCCCCACTCCAAAGCGAGCGCACCTTACGATTTCGTGACTGCATCCAAACCTGTGCGAGGAAGGCACAAATCCGTCACTTGGGTGTCAGTATAGACAGCACTAGCACCACAAACTTGAACCCACCAGCCCAAAAAAGCAACCCCTCCCATGCAGAGTGTGTAATACCAAGTGCCAGGCAATACCGCCATATAGATCCGAAAGAATATGCTACCTACAACAGATTGGGTCTTCAAGGTTTTGTGATGATGTACAGGGTTCCTACCAGGAGTCGCCAGCTTCGCCAGTTTGGGCACCCCACCAGCGTCGCCTCACTTCCAAACATTTGATCAGCCTTAGCGTCCTTGCTCCTAATAGATCCTAATAGTAAGGCCAGGAGCCCCTAGTAGCTTCTTGTTCCCAGCTGGATAACCCCAGAAGGCCGTGTTTTCTCACCTTGTCAAGACGGGAAGATGTTTGTACGCAGAATTGGTGGAAGGCACCCCGGCCACAACAATGGAAAGCATCAGTTTTATTTGACAAAACTTGACTTTCTGTTGTTTCCTTTCCCAGGGTGCTTGTCAACCCATGCACAATAAATACAATTGTTACTACGTAATAAAAGGGTCATAACTTCATAACCGGCGTTTCAATCCGCCCCGATTGATCTGCCAACTCCGGCGCCTCCTTCCAAGCATCAAAGGCCTCCACGAAGTCGGGCCCCCTGAGAACAACGGCCCATGATGAAATCATCACGAGCATGATCCAACGAACATGTGACGAAGTCAAACGAAATCCTAATGGATTGTAAAATTGTGTTGTTGTTGGTCTTGTCGTTTTCTAAATGCTGCAAAAAAACGCATCAACTAAGTACATAGAACAAGAACAAACATGCCAGCTTGCTCAAACAACAGTTACATGGTACATGGTACAAAATGGCGGCCACATTACAGTGATCTACTTATAGTTGTACTCACTTGCGAACAGGTTGGGTGAACCCAACTCCTCAAGGGATGAGATGAGTTGAGTTCCCAACCCAAACAGCAACAAGTAAAGAATAGACCGCAACGTTTGTTTTGTTGAGTACACCAATAGACGAGTATGTTAGTGCTAGTCAATGATAGTACTGGTCCATGATAGTATTCTTATGTTTTCTCTTGACTGATCGCAGTCCTTCTGAAACCTCATCCCACTTTACCAGGTCAAACGCCCCCAAGACGGCGCAGGTTTCAGGCCTTTCTTCGGTCAACAACTGTAAAAAGTAATCAACTTCATTCTGCAAAGCACCAGGGAAAAAAGACACCAGACTCCAAGGAAATCCCGTCGGACTTAGGGTGCGAAAGCCGACTGAAGGGATCGGCCTCTGCACTCCCAGGGCGGAAAACTTGGCAGCGCCATCCTGGGACGGATCGTTTCACGCAGGAACCACCGATGGAGATGGCAGATGCTGCGGGAGGGAAAGAAAGCCCACGCTTTCCCTGTGAGGACATACACAAAGAAAGAAAGCCCACATATAGATGTTGCTGGCTGTTGACGTCGACCACAGGTTCTTGATGGTAGGAGTCTGCAGCCGCAGATTTCTCGAGTTGTCTCCCTGGTTGGTCGTAACAAAGACTAAGACCATGGTTTACGGAGTGTTGGAGGTTTGCCACAACCTGGTACCGCTGAGGATTTCTTGCATCAACACTCATCTTGACTGTGGACGAATGAATCCCACTCATATGGACAGGCGTAGAATCATCCTAGTATGGGGATTAGCAGTTCCAATGAGTTGGAAGCCATGTGTTTCTTCATCTTGTGCTTGTTCAAAAGGTGAAGGTCCAGATGACACAGGTCACGCCACGGCGAGGGTGGCGTACTCAGGTTCAACAGACTCTACACCAGGGTCGTCTCAGATCTTGACACCGTCATGAGAGATAGTCATGGCTGGACCATCGGGTGTCATGATCGAAAGCTTCCCAGAACTCCTCCATGTTCTGAAACAGAGAGCAAGAGATCGTTCTGAAGCTGAGATTTAGTGGGTGCATTGACAAAACATTACAAACCATCTATTCGTCATCAGAGCACCTAAAGGTCCAAAACTCGATCGCACTTTACAGTAGTAGGATCCCAATACAACACAATCCAACACTGACTTTTTCGTTGGAAGGCCCCTGTCTATCGAGTCTCCGAAGGTACACCAAAGACTCGTTCTTTTTTTTACACCTACGCTTTTGGAACGGACGGGTTGAAGCTACACTCACAGCATTACAAAGCTATGGGCTATGGGTTGAGATTTGAGATCCAAATACCCAATGAAACGCTCTCTACAGAGTTGTCTCCAATGCTCTTGCGACTACTAGTCGCTCACAGTTTGCACCCATTCATGTTTTAACATCACTTGACTCGTGCTGATCTAGGAACCCCAGGGAGCCTGCATGAACTGGCCAGCTCCTCTCAACACAACACTGCAACACGCCTGGTTTGATGTGCTTTGCACTTTCTTAAGACATGAGATCTCCTGCACGCCCTTCACAGTCTTCACCAAGCTCTTCAGCTGATCATCCCGTCCAAAGAGATCCTCATTCGGCGTCATCGCACGTTCGGCGCTCGACCACGATCCGTTCGTCGCCTCGCCCAGTGGAGGAAGAACCCTGCCGATTCGTCAGTCAAATTCGTGAGTTGATTTCAATCGATCGACCTGTTGGTTACAAAGCACTCCAATGTTCACTCCGATTTGCAAAGCGCAAATGAGGCCAATGCTGATGCCGGGAATTTCAAACAATTTCTATTGGAGTCATGAGTCAGTGTGGTATGATCATACCGCTGGGGACACGACCGGGGGGGATTCCGTCAGGTAACCTCTAGGATGCTAGTCGAACCATCCGAACGAGCGGCTGCCTGTATAGTAAATATATAGATCCACTCATAATACACCAAAGTAGCCCCTTGCTCTTAAGCCATGAAAACCAGCCTTCGCTGCGAACGAGAGCGATTCCTACATTCCTGTTGTCAAACTCGTCAGTCGCCAAAGACCTGCTTTGCCACGGCACAGAAGCCTCGTCCTCTTCCGGATACCTGAGATCTTCGTTGCCAAGTGGTACAACCAAGTCACTTCACACGCTCGACGCCAACGCCTGCTTTGTTCGGGTGACCCAAATGTCCAACCGCTTTGCTGTTTCATCTCATTTAGAAACTTTCGTAGCAAAAGTTGTCATGTACAAAGGATGACCTCGGTTACCACGAACATGTCCGTGTCCGCGTTTACTAGAAGCAGGAGGTATCTCTGTGTCCTGTACTTTCATGAAACAAATATGGTTGCTCATGGCGTCATGTTTGGCTCTGATTCCATTTGTCAGTCACACGAAGTGATTGCTAAGTATCGTGCAAAACTGGGTGTCCAAATTAATGTTAACCGAAACGATCATGCGCGTCTAAGATCTTCATCACAAACTTCTTCATCATCGAATGCCAGAATGTCATAAGCCAAATGGATCCAAATGGATCCAGAATCCAAAAACATCCAATGGATTCATCAATGTCATCCAATGGATCCATCGGGATGTTCCGATGTGATGCCACAAGGCTTCTGTCTCCTGCTGTCGGACACCGGCTTCACGACCCAATGCTCTATGTAGCATGGCTTCACGCCTTCAACTTTCATCGCTACATTCATCCAACAAAGCTGGACATCTTGGTGGCCTGGAATTCAAGTCTCAATTTTAACACAGCAGTGCCCTGACACCAAAACTGGAGCAGAACACATAGCAACATCTAAAGAGATCTATAAATGTCCACACGGCCGAATGAATAGTGGACGAGCAAAGACCCAAGAAGCGATTGAATTTGGGAGCCATGGATTTTCATGGAAACCGATCGCAAGTTGAGCACCGATCGCATTTTGCAGGAAAAGAACATCTGCTTTTTCATTCTTGGATCTTTTTTGGAGTAAATGTGAGTTGCAAAAGGAGACAAACTGCCTTTGGCCACAAAACCGCGGCTGATGGGTGGAGACTTTCAAGAGTTGCAAGAGTTGCCCCCCATAAAGCCGCCTTCAGGCTCACTTGGCTGCGCCACGGCGTTAGGTCGCAGGCCCGACCTTCTGCCAGGGCACGTCTCAATGAGGGCTTGTAGGAAGAGCCGCGCATACATCGTCACCGAGTCGCACAAGCTACTTCGAGCCCTGAGCGCTGTGCGGGACCCGTCGCCGATCTTCGGGGCCCCGAGGGATAGGTCAAGGCGAGGGAAGACGAACGGGTCAAAAAAGGTGCGACAAACGGACTGAGGATGCTGACTAGTCGGACAGTATGCATGTTCAGGTCGAGTATACTGACTTAGTATAGATGAGACTATCAGGTCAGGGAATGATCGAGAACCCAGTCTCATCATATTAAGTTAGTGAAACTACTTTCTTCGCGAAGAGCTTTCTGCGAAGCTCAGGTTGTTTGTAACATGTTGAATGCTCACAGGCTGAGGTGGTATAATCACAAGCTGCGATAGTTCATCTGCAAGTTGTTGGCTGCAACACTGATTTGAGGTGGGATACACGCTAGATCACGTTAGGCTATAACCAACACATTCCAGTTTTGACTTTCAATGTACAAATTAAGTCGGTCCACTAAACAGTGTTCAATACATTTCATTACGCGATGATATAACTAATATGATCCAAAGTAATCAAACAGTCCATTCAACAATTGTCCTAGGCTCTGTATGTAAATGTCTTATATTGTTTTGTGAACAAATCATGTTCTATCCAATCTGATATCCTATAAGTCACGGTGTATTTGTCTGCCAGATTCAAACCATTTGTTTTCCATCTCAGGATGTATGTTTGTTTCTTTCCGAATCCACAAAACAATGAGTGGAGGAAAAGGAGCTCCTATTTTTCCAAGTTTTATTCAGGTCCAGATTGGCAAATTGCATTCTTCAACTGATTGGACAGCGTGTTCAAGGCGTCCTCTACTCGACCATCAAACAAACGAAGGGAACAGTTACCATGTGTTCTCTTTGCTCGCTGAACCATCATGTTCCTCGGACCGATCGGAACCAGTGTTCCTCGGTCGCACAACACCATCTCTCGGAATCCCAGGAGAAGCAGCACAGAAGTCATATGAGTCATATCTGCCAAGCAGCATTGCCTTGCGGAAGAAGGGTGCCTCGGATTGGACAGGCAAACAACAACATATAAGCCAGTGTCAGGAAAACCTCCCCAAGCCTGGCGTACATGAGGTGCAACCAACAAACCCAGCATAGTTTCTGCATTGCATTGGGAAGTCCTGGATACACTTCATAGATTTTCACAGCGTCATATAGTCCATGCTGGGATCTCCGATGTTTGTCGCTCCACAGAAACCTCCAACGAGCGAAGAAGAAGTCAAATACCTCGATCCTATCCGTTTCAACATTCTCCATCAAAGAGTATTTTAGCATTCAACATTCAACATTTTCCTATCCGTTTCAGTAACCTTTTTTGAGGGATTGGAGACACCCCATGTTTCCCTACTCAAATCCAGGTGGATTTCGTTCGGTTTCACCCGGAACATCTTCCACGGGCTACACGCCGAACCCTTGCGATCCGACATGGACGAGAATCGTCCAGGGCCATGAAGTGGGCGGAATGGTCTTCGCAGTTCAAACGCCCTCGGTACTCCCATTTGAGCCTCGGTTTGGCGTCGAGCGCGTTCGGGGAATTCGTTTCGGCATTCCATCTGCACCAAGGAAGTGAAGTCAACAGAGATGGGTGAGATATGTTGTAGTTTGTCTTGTGTATATATATACACACACTGTATATACTTGTAATGCTTATGTTACAGTAGCTCGTATTTGAAGCCATGGATCAAATTTCCCAGATTCCTTTTGGGAGGTAGATTGTTCACAAAGTGCGTCACAAAGGCAATAAAGCCCATGTTACATTATCTTTTGTCAATTAAAACATGTTCATGTCTTTAGCCGCCTGGACGGTGGTCAGAAGGCGGAAAGTCTCAAGTGATTGCTTGATCTGTAACTTTCAGCATATATACTTTGACATTGTTTGCAATGACCTCGCTCTGTAAAAAGACACACACACAGAACAACAAGAAACCGGCAAACAATGTTGGTGTTTCATGGTGTTCAAACAAAAACATCAACCAAAAAGCCAAGGTGACGTAAAACATATTCCCATGTCATTCTTAAATTCAACTCCGTCCAAGAGATTAGATCTATGGCCCCCATTCGATGTCCTTGTAAAATTTAAGGATACTTAAGGGTCTGTACAACTGGCTGTGTTGCAGTCTATATGATCACAACTATATAAGTAAAAACAAAGGAGATAGTGGCATCTCAAGGGACTGTCAAACACCAAATCACGCGCTGTATAGTACTGTATTTACGACACTACCATAGCCATAGCCATCAAACGTCGGCCGTGACAGTCCGTTCACTGCTCGAAATCACTGCCCAGTTGCCATAGAGTGGCCTCTGCCACACGCGTCCCCTGCCAATCATACGATGATGTTTGACCGCTGGACTACGCTATATAGCTATATCATATCATATAATTGTATTGCCTCTCTTCAACCAACCAAATGGCATAAAGTCCCTTAGATTCCCCTGGAACTATGATCACAGAAACGCGGATGATGCCAGGTACCTGCACTGTGAACCAGATCCTTCAGCTGTTTAACACGAGTGAGTTCAAGCCCAGCTGACCAAACATGGAAAGTGGAAACATGTCTCCGACCTGCACCGGACCAACCTGGCTCTCTTCCATCCACCTCCGGGGCATACCGGGTCCGTCACTGCCTCAAGGACGTCCTCGGAGTCCAATGGAGAGATATCAGGCTGATACTTAAGCCTGCCAACGGTTCTCATGCGGCCGCCGGCGTCGTTCGGATCGTGGCCGGCTCGCGAAGTCGGGAGATCGGTGGTGACGGCAGGGTTGAAGAGTCGGTTAGGCAGTCGATCTGAGACAGCGGTGACAAGAGGTCAATTGAGATGATCACCACGTAGTTTGAGCACCAAAGGTTAGTTGGAACATGTCAATCTGCCGTGGTATCTGCCGTGGTACCCTTTTCGTACCAACATGATCGTTGGTGTAAGCATTCATTGCCCTGAAATTCCTCATGTCACCCAAAAAGTATCCCTCTGGAAGAAACTGAAGGTTTGACAGGGCCATGCAGTGCCCAGTACATCCACTTTTTCAAAGACATGAAGGCCCAGTCGCTGAAGAATTGGCCTCCAGCAGGCATCCGGGTACATGTTGTCTACCAAAACGGGTCAGAAGTCAAAACTGCTGCTGGCCAATTGAGAGTTGTAGATGTTCAACCCAGCCAAACACAATGGGCAGCCGAAGTCTGTTTCAATCACTCGACCCAACGAAGACCGAGATGTTAGGAGGATCGATGTGACGATGTCAACCGACCCATGTCACACATAATGAGACAAACAAGCTACAATCTCCAACATGATCCTAGGATCCTATAGTGAATGTCATGTTACCTAACTCCGAGTTAAGCTTAAAATACATCTGAATAGTAAGTTGTTGCAAGTTGCTAGCAGTTAGAATCAGTTCAAAACAGTTACTTGCAAGCTAGTATTTTTTCCAGGGTTGTATGCAGTTTCAATTCGGAGTGATTTCGCGGGCATGCACCTAGAATACGGGAAGGCAATATTTACATACTTCTGGCAGCGGCTACTTAATGCTGTGGAGCAAATGTTGGGTGCAAATCTGAGCACCTGCAAGAGTTGTTGCACATTCTCTGGATATCATTCCTTAATAATCTAACTCATTCTCGGTGTTCTAAGTATATAACTGCATGTGTGAAGCTAAACTATGTATTCGTTTCTGGAGGCAACTTGTGTATGATTGATTAATGTCAGAAACCTGAATTAGCTCACATTCAATATTATGCTAGCAACTTGCTATACAGTACGACGTATACAAGTCCCGTACTCCTTGTAAGGCCCGTCTGCAACTCCCGTCTTCGCGAAGGCCAGTGGAACTGGCGTCTTTGGAAGCCAATCCGCAATCCGGAGGTCGAACGGTTCTGCAGAGGGTTCTACAGTGGGTTCTGCCACTCTGGACGCAAAGAAAACCGCGCAAACTCCAAACCCGCCTGCCACTCTGGACAAAGAACATCCTGCCGTGGTTGGAAGCTGGCGCTGTGTATAACTCGGCAGCAATTGTCTTCATGAAGGCGACCCAAACACCATCCACACAATTAGAGATATAATGATATACTTCCAGTGTGTTCGCTTCGGATACTTTTCCTTGCATCAAAACATAGAAACATCATAAACATACAAACATCCGACATCAAGCCCTCCTGAAAGGAATGTCAAAGCAGTGCTGCACACTGCGATGCCTTTTTCTGATGTCCGATGGAGTCAGGTTTAGGTAAGGCTTTTAGTAACCATTTAGCTATAGGCTATACTGATGAAGGGGTTCCGTGAATTCGTTGGACCCCAAAACGAGTTGGAGCGGCGAGGGCACTTCTCTGAGAGCTCAACGTACGTTTCAACATCTTTCAACATGGGTACAAGTACCTGATCGATCTTGTGGCGTGTCATGCCATGTCTCATGTTCCAGGGGTACAAGCTGAAGACTGCAGCCCTACATTGTCATGTCATGCACAGTCGACACCTTTTGAAGGCACCAACCACTGCCGCTTGAATCGGCACACGTGGACGTGGACGGAACCCGCGTTTGGCACCCGGTGTTACCGTACCTTAGAAAAGCCATGTTTCCTGGCCCAACTCCCAGGAACTATAGGAGCAAGAAGCTACTAGGGGCTCCTGGCCTTACTACTAGGAACAAGGACGCTACTAGGAACAAAGGGCATCGCTACTAGGAGCAAAGAAATATATCAAACAATTCTCAGGACCAAATCTTGGACACCGCCTTCTTCAAGCGCAAGCGCTCGTCATATCGCTGATCTGGGGAAAATGAGTGTGAGTGAATCAGTGAATGAACAAGAATTGCAGCAATGCCCCTGAAAACGACAGACCAGCCCTTGCAAGACTCTACGGACAGCAAGTTCTGCACGTTTTCTCGAATCCATACCTTGAATAATGAGCCTTGACCACGAGGCCCACCAGGGCCTACCATCAAGAAATACTAACCTGTGGCCTGCGGCTTACTAAGCCTCCATCGCCTATTGGAGGAACCGTTGATCTTTTCAAGACAAGTAAACCCACCACACCGACCACAGCAACATCCTCGACCACACCAACACCCGTCCGATCGACACCCGCCGCGACCCTGCACCTGTCGGCTGAGGAGTTGGGCTGGAAGACCTCCTCCCCGTGGATCACGCTCTTCTCTTTGATGGCCTGGAGACGTCCGACCCAGTCGTTGCTGCGGGAAGTCGTTGTTGTCGTCTGCATGGGAAAGTGTTGTCTAAGGGCTAAACAACATGGCACCTCTTAGGTCCCAAAAGCAAACGCTGCAAGGAACACAACACATCGGAGGAAAGTCATCTTCCCAGGGACCGTTTCCACCATTCATGTTAGTGAGTCAGAGTGTAGTACACTTCGGAATGTGAATTCCTTCCTAAAAATATGTTTGAGGGATCTAAGTTCAGGAGTTTGGAGCTTGAGCTTGTCCACACCCACGCTATTTGCCCGAGTGACTGGGAGGGCTGTGGAGACAAATTGAGAAACCAGTTTCTCTTCTGTGTTCTGTTGTCTTTTGAGGTCGTGGTCGTAGTTGGTGTCTTTGTGGGTGCTGCGGCGATTGTGGTGGCGGTAGTTTATTCTGCAGCTCCTGGTGCAGCTATGCTTGCGGTTGTTGTTGGTGTCCTTGTGGATGCTCTGGTTGTTGTCCTTTCCGTTCTGGCTCTAGTCATTGTAGCTCTTAGATCATTCGGAGTCCAAAATGGACCCCATTTGATTGGCTAAAAGAAACTAGCCCCTCCGAAGACATGCGACACAAAACATCGGCAGCCAAACAAGACATCATGGAGTGAATCTGTGAATCTGCAGATTCCGCAGAAATATGAAAGAACATGCTGTTGGTCTTTGAAAGTGAACAGGACAACTGCCCCTCGATTGTGCATGTGTGTGTTCTTTTGATTTGTAGGCTTGTCTTGAAAGCAAATGTAGCATCTTACAGTACACGCCAGTACCAAAGTCCCGAACAAAGCAAAAGCATGGCTCTACACCAAGTCGGTTCAGTACTGCTCTATTACAAGCTCTCAGAAGTCGCATAGACCAACGGTGCAGTCGCCGGGCACCAAAACGAAAAACACCCCGAAGCATCGCCATGGGTGAGGCCTTGTGGCATTGCCGAGCCTCACAGCAACGGTTTGAGAGTGACCCGCATCAAAGCTCAAGCTAAACGATCCTATCAAATGAAACAAGTTTACAACTTGGCCGGCAAACATGAGGAATTTTCGCACCTATTAGCAACATGCCTGCGCCAGTCCATGTTGATTGAACCTTGAGGCCCTTAAGAATGGCCCACTCAAAACTGCTGCTCCTCACATTTGCTCCTCAACATTAGCCTCACCACCCAAATACCTCATGCGGCTAAGGAGCCATTTCAGGATGTGCAATCTTCGACAGGAATTCAAACAATGGATGGCTTTCTAACACAGGCATCGCCACCTCGCCGCGCGGAATCGCGGGGCGAACTTGGTGTTCTGCGAGGGGGCCCTCCAAATGAAAAGCACCCAGTATGCGTAGCAACGCGGCCATACACCGGGAGCCTCCAACAGACTGTTTTGTGGTGGCAACAGAGTCCCAAAACAGCCTGTTGGAGGCCAAATTCTATATTAGTGAGGTCAAGGAAAAGCAGCACTTTGCAGTTGAAGAGGTGAGTGCAAGGAACAAGCATGGCGCCAGCCAGCAACCGCAGCTGAACACTACAGCTGAAGCGACCAGAAACCTGTTGCGAACAGCGGCTTCCAGTTTTCAATCTCTCAACTTAATGGGGTTGTGATGGGCTGTGCAACTAGAGACAATCTCGGCCCAGTGACACCTGCCTTGCAACAACGTGCAACTTAAATGTTTGAGCCCAAACACATCTTGTTGCGAGAAGTTAAGCCATGTCGCATAATATATCATATATAGCGTGAAAGCTTATGATAGCACCCTCCTGCAGGTCACCTGAGACCTGGAAGGTGTCCCTTCCCAATCCTCAACTACTGAAATAGATTCGTGGTTGGTCAGTGTCGGGTCCAAAGCCTAGAACAAAATCTTAAGAAAAGCAAATCGACAGAAGCAGTGACCTGTTTGGTTGACCAAAGCACCAAAAGCCGGCCTGTTTAAGCCTTTCCTGGCAAGCGAGAAAGCCATTTCCGTCAAACATGGTAGCATCGGCTCAAAGGTAGCAAGCTTAGCAAGCTGTTCATGTTCGGAAGTACATGCCAAACAGTTGCCTCAAAGATCACGGTTGACTTGTAATAACAGGCCGGTGTCAGGCACTTCACCTCCCATGGCGGGTCCGGTCCGATATTCACACCCAATATAGATCCAATTCCGGGTCACCAGTGATTCCGCAAAGGAAATTCACGAAACACTGGCTCGAAGTGCAAACACATACCTGGCTCCAAAAACGCTCCAGGACGCCAAAGCCGGCAAAGCCAAAGCGAGCCACTTAGAGTCAAATTTATAGGTACAGGCTTGGGGTACAAAAATCACTATACAATAAGTTAAGAATCCTTGGGCCCTCCATAGCAGGGGTCGGACCCTCCATAGCAAGGGTCCGGACCCTCAAAATCCATTGCCCTCCTCTTCCTTGCTCTCTCCATCTTCCTTCTGCCTGCCTCTTCCAGCAAGTTCTCACGAACCCGTCGAGGAAGCGCCCTTGGAGTGGACGTCTCACGAAGGTGGGAGGTGCTCGGAGGAAAGGTGAGTTGGGGTCGCTGGACATGAACGACCGAGTCTCGCGTGGAATCCGAGGAATCCATGCAAATGATTGATGGGACCCCTCAGGACTCAGGATTGGAATCGCAGAGATCAGGAATCAAAGGAAGGAATCGCTAATCAACATCTTTTCGAGGAAGGAAGGAAGAATCCTCCCAGCAATCCCAAACACTCCATGTAAGTATGACATATATATATATATGTATTAAAACATATATATATATATATTGACCTACATTATCTCCTTTTCAGCCATCCCACTGTGAATCTTCCAGTCTCATGGAGCCCAAAATGGCGTCTTCATACATCCAAAATGGTTTCAAACAGGCAAGAACCGAGGGACCGGGCACCGGACCATCTTCGGGATCCGTCTTCGGGATGCGTGCATGGCTGCATCATGGAATGGTCATGGAATGGGTCACCATGCAGGTAGAGAATCAAAGCTGTCCCGCCATCCTTGCGATCTGAAGATCTGTCCAAGACAGAGGTCTTAGAGTCGTCTTAGAGTTTTGGATGGTCTTTTGTTCCTCTTGTTAGCCGTAAAGGATTACTCATATCCCCACTTTCAGGATCTTTCATGTCTCCATCTTCCTGCACCTGACACTTATCCTCTTTAGCCATGATCCAAGCCATGCTTCCCATCCCGATCCCTCGGATGCTCAGTGGTTTGCATCCAGCACCTTGACCACCAGGTCACCCAAAACAAGATAAACAAGGGTGGCCTCTTGTTGCGCCTTTCAGAAGCCTCAAACGAGGAGACCAGGACGGACTCCTTCGGAGACCTGGATCCAATACGATCCAATGGCGGAAGACCGGAAGCCGAGCCGACTCGCTTGAAATATCTTGAAATCACGTGTGCCGCGGTGTCTCGCAGTTCCTCCGAGCTTCTCCAAGACCTTGATGTCACCAGCCACCAATTTGCTTTGTGCCTGGAAGGGCAGGTGCTTTCACTGGTGCTGATCACAGGGTTGCTGATCTGATCTTTTGGAGCTTCAAGGGCTAGGCAACGGGATTTTCCCGCTCCCCACCCCCTCCTAGTAACAAGAAGCTACTAGGAACACAGAGCATCGCTACGATCGGAGCAGTGGCATTGGTTGTCTTCCCACTGGCGGCTGGAAGATTATGACACTGGTGAAACCTGGGGTGCAGCCCAGCGCAGTCTGTGAAAGGAGTGTAAGAATAAGAACTATATAAGGATTCCGGTTTGAAAACCGCAAAACAGTGGTTCACCGGGGTTCACCGGAGCACAGAGTTGTCGTTTCGGTGAAAGTAAAACCGCAGCATCTAGGTATGTTTTATGGAACATGTGTGGATGAGACATGAGATGACAACTTTTGGGGCACACGACTTGGCATCTACACTGCTTTCGGGGCTGCCAGGCATACCGAAAGCCGTCCACTAGTCACTAGTTCGCTTGTGCTGTTAGAACATACCGCCTTCAAACAGTGGTTTCACTGACGTTGAAATGCTTCAAAGTCTGACATACCCTCCCAAACAATGTGAACGTGGAAAAGGGACCCTTACGAAATATTAACAAGAACAAAACAACACCTTGTCTCTACTTCCATGGGGACTTCCGCTTCCATGTTCGCGAGTCAAAGTGGAAGTTGCTGAGCTGTTCCATTCTCTGAAGCGAGTTGTTGCTTGGTTTAGAGCACTTTTGTGCATTGAGCACTTTTGTGCACCAGAGTTCTATATAACTACTTTGATAAATGTTACGAACACAGGGACACTGGCAAAAGAAGCATTGCCTGGGATCTTGGATCTTACCGACCATGACCCCCGGTTTCAAGTTAGGCGTTCATCTCGCTTCAGGAATGTCGCCAAGTCCAAGACCAAACTCTCTCGCACATCTTTTCCGCAATGTCTGCTTGCTTGCAAAAACATCTGTCCAAAATGCTAATTTAAAGACAAAGAGGATCATCATTGTTTGACAACGAATGCCCACTTCATGGGCCTCCGATGCCATTCGATGCCAACATCACTCACCTCCAACGCCACCATTTTCTGAGCAGATCTGAGCAGGTAGGTTTAGCTAGCGATAGCTAGCTTTGTTCCGTCCATCGGTCAGAAGTGGCAAGGCTGAAGAAATCCAGAACCCCTTCCTACGAATTGATTCATTCCTAAAACAGGACCTTGGAGGACACACGGGTCTTCCCGGAAAACGGTCGTGGTCCAAGAAACCGACGACCTGCGGTCTTTTTTCACCACGTGGTCGCTCCGAGATCATCGCATGAACCGTAGCGACACTGTAGCCCTTGGTGCCTTCAATCCGACTGGCCCTCTGGGTAGAAACAAGTGCAGCACTTCGCCAGGGAAGTACCAGGATCTGAAATGAGATTGATCAAGGCTCAGCTGACTCCCGGCAAGGTTTAAAACATGTTATATATGTCAACAAGTGTTCTTTCTTGTTTACATACCTTGAGAATTTACTCTTGGTTTCGACCATTTTCCGTAACTCAGTGGTTTTTGGGTTCCATATGTGATCCTCGGCAGGGGAGCAATCAGACTTTTTGGTGCGGAATTGGAGCCTTGTGGCCCATTTGTACACTGAACTTCTTGGCAACCTTCTTGCTTCCGCGAGGATGTTTTGTCGAAGCATAGTCAGCATGGATGCAACAACATACACTATACACTCCCTGAAATAATCATGGAAGTAAAGTTCCCCACCTGTATCGTAGAGTCGTAGAGGAAACGGGTCATCCAAGGGGATATTTTCAACCTTCCATGATGATCAGGGAGTGCAATTTGCGCTTTCTCCACAAAGCTCTTGTGACAATGCAGAACAAAGCTCTTTCACCTGTAGGATCCAACGTCTCATTCTTTTCGCCAATAGACATACTGATACTGTATATCAAACGTGATAGAAGAACATGAAGGACATTGATTGCAGCATCCTTCGCAGAATTATTGCAGGTACTGTAATTAATTGTATTATTAGGACATATTAGGAACCCGTTTCGGATACGAAACATGCGGCATACTTAAACCCAATTAACTCTATACATAGCTCACAAATGCTCACAAAGGGTAAATATCTAAGACAACAGTAAACCTATGTGTGGCAATCATGTGATTGGGATTGATCATCAGCACAAATAAAATCATTCATGGATTGCCCATTATTCTATCGGTTCTACCACTCTTTTCGATTCATGCTCACACCAGCAGGCCAGGAGAGCTACTTGCTAGTGCAACTAGCATGGCCTTGGTTCAGCTGGCAAAAGGCTTGGAAACATTCCTCAGAGATGCCCGGTCCTCAGCTAGTTGGAGCTCACTGTTGAATGCTGGAGTTTTTGGAACTCTTGGGAAGCCTCCGATGGGTATCAGGTAACAGTATCAGGTATAGGTACAGTATCAGGTATCAGGTAATGCCAGGAGCTCCTAGTAGCTTCTTGCTCCTAGTAGCGATGGCCTCCAACCTACTTGCGATGGCCTCCACCTAATAGTGTCCTTGCTACTAATAGCAAGAAAGCATCGACCGTTTTTTGGACTTTTGAGGCAGCTGGGATCAGCTGGGCAGCTGGAAGATCTTCATTCTCCAGTAACTTGGTGGGACCCTGTCATACTACCTGTCGTATATAATTCATTGTAATTCCATCCACCACCCATAAGATTGATAAGGGCGTGTAGCTCAAATAGGGAGACCTCCCAGGCAACAGCCCCCTAGATTCGAAGGAAAATAGACTAAAACCCATGTGTTGGGTGTCACAGCTTGCAGTCGTCCGCTTCAAGCGCTTCCCCAAACTGCCCCTTCAAGCGTTGTACAGGGGTGTCAGATGGGTTCAGGGGGAAACAAGACTATCTACCACAGGTGAGCGGAGAGTCTGGCCTCTACAAAGTGTATCCTAATAGATCTTAATAGTTTAATTATGTTTAATTATAGGTGTGTGCACGTGGCAAATTATGACCACTATGCTGCAACTGTGCGCACAGGGAGAACAAAGTACTGTAAATGAATTTGTTCAAGCGTCGGGAAAAGGTAAATCTAGCAAGACCCACTCAGTGTGGCAACACCTGTAGGACGTGTACGGGTCAGGGAGTGCACTTAGCCCGTGTTGGCTTTTTGGGCTATTTATAAGTTTGTACGCTCGCTATTTATGAATTTGTAAGCGCTGTAGAAATGGAACTTCCGGCAGCTTTGCTTGAAATGGAAGGATTGTGTTTCTCGTTGAGAATGAGTACATCAGCAGAAAACGGTGGAGCTGTTTTCTGTTTCCTTTGGATTGCATTCAGGGTTTGCATGGTCTTCCCGGCAATAGGCAGAACCGGGCAACTGGGCACCCCCGCTTTAATTTGGATATCGAAACCCAAACTTGCCATACTTTTAGCTCCTGATTAAGTATATCTTGGAAATAAGTTCGATTGGAACAAGTTTCAAGATGTTGGGTCACCAGGAGGAATGTTTCAGCTTATTGGCGGAGTGATCGTTTATTAGGTGGTGGCAACATTTGGATCAATGGATGAGTCAAGGGTGTTGCTTCAGCGTACCCTTTGCCACGTGGTGGGTCAACTGGAAGGTCTACGCCTGTGTGTAGGATGAACAAGATAGATATAGTTCATACCAGCTTATGCCAAGATCAGCCGGTGGTGGAGAGGGGTTCAAAGGTCGCCACTTTAGTCTTGTCATATATGTCCAAACAGCAAAGGCCAATGAATGTCCCCAAATCCATGTCTTTTTTACAATGGAATGTGCATCGGGTCGCACCTGCTGGTTGCCAGTTTACGGGTTGATCCGATACCTGAGCATAGGTAAGCGCCAACGTGATTCCACCTATTGTTTTCTTTGTGAGATACTTTGGTTGGTGGGCGTATGCCTTGTTAATTTCAAGAATGCAGAGCCAAAAAGTGCCTTAAGTTCATCATACACCATTTGTTGAGTGTCTCGGTGTCTCCCTATTAAAATACACACCCATATCAATAAATTGCACCTCCCAGTTTCAGGTGGTATATGGCTGTCCACGAGCTATGTCGGTCGGATCTGGGCTTTCAGCGGGCTTTTCGCAGCCTCTGCAGCCTTCAGGATTCCTTTTCTGAACTTGTGAGAGTCATGTCCATTTTTCGGAGTAGGCCCAACCTTTGGGGCGGGCGACGATGGCAAGACCTTTCAGGCAAACAGCCGACAGACAGGTCTTCGATATGAGACATGGGTTAAACGGGTCATTCTTTGAGTTGTTTGACAGACCGTCTGACCTATCTCTGGAGAGGGTGTTTGAAGATGTTCTCAAGAATCATGTTTGAACACATAGATTGGTACTACTAGTTACTAGGAACAAGATAAAACAAGGACGCTACGAACGGGGCTCCTGGCCTTACTACGAACGGACCGATCGGATGCTACCTCGCTCGGATCCATTTGAGACGACGTCTTGGCTGCCAAGCATCGAGGAAAGGTTCCAGTGGCCAGGTTGTTACCAGAAGCTGCCAGGTCCAGGATAGCGGAGATGGTGCCAAAAACCATACCTCAAGCGAAAGAACGAGACCCCAGTAGTTGAAAGGAGCGTTTGAAAGCTTCTTGTTATGAGTAGCGATGGCCGCCATGAGGACCGGTTGCCCAATTTTTGGGTAGTTTGACCTAGTGAGAGATAGGGGCTTATGTTCCCAGGGAAAAAGCAGATGTAATTGCCTTCATGATGCCCATGATTGGGACTTGAGGCCAGAGGGGGTGAACGAAAGCTAGCCGGGCTTCCGGTGGTCTGCTGCTGGTGCTGCTGCTGCTGGTGCTGCTGCTGCCGCTGCTGCGCTGGGTGCTCTGCAGGCGCCGGGTCGTCTGCTGCTGCTGCTGC